ACACACACACACACACACACACACACACACACACACACACACACACGGAACATAAATGTTGTTGTGTAAAAGCTTCCAAACTGATGAAAAAGATTGTCTGAACTCAGTCATTATGTTAAAACTGAATCTTGGGCTGAAAATAATCCATTTGTCAATGTTGTTCTTTAAATCCATCTGTAAAAAAAGCTTTCTGTACACCCCCGGTCTCCCAACCTCATGCACCTGCATACACACGCACAGMCACACACTTACACACACCTTCAGCAACACTTTGCTCGAATCTGACAAGAGTGCATTGATGTCCGCCCACCAGCCCCTTCTGTCCTTTCTGTATCTGCGTGTGATGGAGACCGCTGTGTGCGTGTGTGCGCTGTGCGCTGAGTTGTGTGTTTGTCAGTGAGCTGTTATCTAATGTCTCTATAGCTTTTATTTATTTATTTATTTTGTGTGCCTGTGTGAATTTRGTTGTGTGTTTTTGTGTGCGTGCGAGGAGTGAGCATTACTCACGCAGCAGATACTCGGCAGCATCTTGGTCATAGTCTGCGTCCTCTGGGAAATGATTGATCTGGGAGCACACACCTCGCTTCAAGCCTGAAAACAAGACGGGGACAGAAAAGAGGATGAAAGGTTGAGGAAGGACACAGGAACATAAGATACAAGAAAAAGAAACTCAGTCTTTTAGTAAGTTCTGCCAAAAAACTGTCATCACTGAAAAATAAAGATGTCCCTAACTGATGTACATGTTTACTTTATTAAATTAGGGGACATGTCATGCACAATTCACTTTTTTAGCTGTTAAATATATTTTGTTGTGTACTTAGAGTCTCTAGGAGAGCAAAAAAGTTTAAGTCAACCCTGTCAGGGTCATATTTTTTGGCCTGATCAGTTTTCTCTATGACGTTTTCTGAATCGATTACGTCAAATTATCTGCGACATAATTACCAAATAAGGTCTGGACTTACAGACCTCCCTCTGGTTCTGAGTCAGACTCTGGTTCTGGGTCTCCTGTTGCTGACATCTTTTAATTAAATTGTAAATTAAATGCTTCTGCAAGCTAGAAAATATAACCCTCTCAAACCGGAGTGGACCGGCTAGAGGAGGGCGGGGCTTAAAGCATCTCAAAGGMGCAGTAAAAAAACGAGTTGCTTTGAGACATGCCTCAGAAAAGGGGTGAAAAAGGAGCTGGTAAAGTTGTAATAAGACGGAATTCAGAGTTAAGACCCCCA